ATTTTATCGGAAACATGCACAAAGTATGCCTTCTACGCATTTGGCAGCAAATCACGTCGTCTTCACATTTTATACTCGAAGAAAGAGTATCTTTCGATTTTAGAAGTTTCTATGATATTTTTTAAGCGTGTAATTAATGCTCCTTGTGAAGTATGCAACACAGTCCGCACCCATTTCAAAATTCTACGAACTCTACATGGTATCTTCTTAAAGGCATAGAGAATATGCAATTCTCCTTACGCGGAAAGTTTACACCTTGTAGACCTGAGTCGGTAAACGTTAATGCAACGGCCTATCTGACTCAAAATTACTAGGGAACTGAAAAACCTTTTCAAAACCTAAATATGCTCCTTTTGAGTATAAAATGTGAAGAGGACGTGATTTGCTACCGAAAGAATAAAGGAAAGCTTATTCTGTGCTTTTTTCGACAAAATATATTTGAATTTATAAGGCCGTCGAAAACCTATGTGGAAAACGCACACTACTTAAGCAGTTGCTCTTACCCAGTGCGACTGTTACAGGTGGAATAGAAACACATCCAAAGGCCAACATCCTGGCGAGTACATAATATCGTAGGATTATGCCGCATGGAAAATAATATTACAGCCGTACCTAAGTAATCCTTCCTAACCGAAAACGCATTTCGGAATCTCGGCCAATATCTCATGAGATCGGTCATTCACTGTATACCGCAGACGCGGCGTAGCTTTTTCGGCTTAACGACTCAAGATTAAATTTGCTCGAAACGTGTGCTTGTGTGGCTCGGTATACATAACCCCTTGCTCTCACGAGATGAACAGTGTCCTTCTGACCACCATGAAGTGGTACGGAGTAGACAAATGGAAATGACGTATACTGGACCCAGTCGTGAGGAACCAGGTACATAGTGGGATGTGCTGGCGTTCGAATAACACTAGCATTCCTTGGTCCTTCACAGGTAAAACTGTCTAATTGTTAAATTATACGACTTTCGCTGCCACAATATTACCCTACGCCGGGTTAACCCCACGTAAACAACGCGACATAGCAGCTAGAGTCGGTGTTGCTCAGCCAAGTTCTGTGGGCTCGTCACGACGTTCCAATTACCAAAAGGACTTGTGTGTAGGGCGTCCGCCCGGTTAGCGACTGTCTAGATTTTGCGAGATAGACGAATGAAAACTGCGGGTTCTCGACCACCTCTGTTTGAGAGCCATCCCCTGCTTAAAGGACAGTAACCTCGCAAAGACGCGCCTTGCCCAGCTAGATCAGCGAACCGGGATGACGGTGCAAAAAGTCGCAGGAGAGCGCGTGCGAATCGTGAATATCAAGAGCGACACTGGGTTGATCGGCGACACAAACGGCCAGCCAGTACGCGCGTGTGACACAAAGGCTAGTAAAGAGAGAGAAACCGAGGAAACTAAAAACAGACTATTGACAGTGTGGCGGATGGAATTTTTCATCCAATTGCCCTTATCGCACCAGACGGTGTTACAAATGTTCCCAGATCGGTCATAAAGTAGCACACACGAAAGACATTCAACGCGGTAGCCCAACAGGATTCACAAGTGCTGAGTTGTGAACATATAATGTATTTGACGGTCAGCGTTGACGGAGAACCCGCCACATTACAGCGTCAGATCCTAGGACAGTTAGTACCAGCATGTGGGAGGCCCTTGGGTGGCCGGAACTGAAGCCAACCGCCGTCCACGCTTGGGCATAAACTAATACACAAGTGCACTTTGAAGGTGTTTCCCAGGCAACTACCCTTATCGAGGACAAGGCCTGCTTGTCGGGCATCTTGCGTCTGAAACCGATCTGCTTGGTAACAAGACTATCTCTCAATTGGGTCTCTGGAGTCGGCCGTTCTAGGAGATATGTTGTATCGTTGACATTACGAAAGAAAGCTGAACACATCGGGACGTCTTGAGGATGAAGCCAGGGAAGAGGCCGGTCTTCGGGCATGGTCGGCGCGTCCCATTTGCGGTCCAGGCATCGGTTGAAAAATAACTGGAGTGTTTGCAGCATTATCTGCGTCACAAACTAGTCAACGTGGGGGTAAAGATGCCTAATGGCAGAATAGAGCTGTGCGCAGACTACTCGGCAGGGATGGACGACGTATCATTACCCCTTGCAGACTGTGGACCACACTCTTGCGACCCTGAATGGAGGAAAACTTTCCAAAAAGGTTTACCTACAGTTATCAGTCGATGAGGCAGCACAGGAGATGCCGACAGCTAACACACAGGGGTCTGTCCAAATATACTCGTCTTAACTATGGCGTCAAAACGGCGCCTAGCATATTCCACCAGTTTGTGGACTCCATGCTTACAAATGTCCTTGAGGCCGTTGCCTACTTGGATGACATTTTGGTCGTCGGCCGTGCGGACGAGGAGCCGCTCCAGAGGCATGACGAGGTCATGGAAGGTCTTGATTATGGCCTGAGAATCAGCATGGAAGAGAGCGAGTTTCTTCGAGAGATTTGTAGTAAGCGAGACAGGAGATTCACCAGATCCAGGGAGACTTGCAACATTCGAGAATATGCTGGCAAAGATTGTACGGGAACTATGAGTTTGGTCAGCGGGGTTGCACAGTTCAAAGCGACCATTAAATCAGTTACTTTGCAAAGATGCCAAATTTGGTCTGCAGACTGTCAGGAAGTGTTTGACGAGGGTGAAGATTAGCGAGTCAACCGTGGTCTCAAATTTCGAAGCGGATAAAGAAACTATCTTCCAGGCGAATGGATCTGATTATGGGCTACATGGGGTTTTTCTTCAGATAGACGGGAATATCCTGCCCTTAATGCATGTCGCTCGATCACTCACGGGAAAACGAAACTTAAAGTCAAATCAGGAAAGAGCCGCTGGCAGAATAGGAATTTCGCCAATTCATTTACGGTAGACTTTTAGTCCTTTACACGGATCATCAGCCACTTAAGTTTTTGTTGGGCACAAATCGTCGCGTGCCGCAGTACGCGTCCAAGAGGACACAACGGTGGAGTACCGTACTCCAGAGCTATGACTTCACGGTTCAGTACGTGCCCACACAGAAGTTCGGAGATCTGGGGACGCTCTATCACGACTGAGCCAAGACAAAGACAATCGGGAAGACGTGGTGGCTGCAAGCATTTTGATATGAGACGACGACGATTTTAGGCGTCACCCGACAGGTGCCCCTCACAGCCGAACATATCAGGGTAATTACTGCAGCGAACCCATTACTATGCAAGACAATGAGGTTTATTCAGAACGGTTAGTCAAGCGGGGACAAGGTGCATCCAGCTATAAGGTTTTTCAGGAGCCGGAAGGAGCAGTTGTACGTATATCACCGAAAAATGTATAGCGTATGATAGTAGTGATTATTCTGGTCAAACGACAACAAGAACAACAGGTTTTACATAAACTCAATGTCGGACACCAAGACATGGCCCGCCAGGGACTGATGGCGATGCGGAATCTTTCGTCCGGATTTGCGGTCCATGTAGGCGTGAGCCCAAGAACCCAACAGAAGTACTGTTTGTGCCATGGTCGATGGTGACGAGGCCGTAGTGAAGAGTCCATACGGGCTTCGTTAGACCATTCTCTGACCTAATTTTTCTCGTCGACGCATAGTCAGAGTGGATGGAAGTTTTCAACGTCGCAGAAGCTACCACCAAAACCACAGCAAAAAGACAGGAATTTATTACACGGTATGGTATCCCCACAGAGTATGTGACGGATAACGGCACTCAGTCTACGTCATCCTTGGGGAATCCGAGGCCCGCGTTTCAAAAGGGAGGTCTCACGGAGATAAAAACCATGGTGGAATCGCAGTCTAAAGAAAACGTGAGCATGTGCGTCGCAAAAGACCAAGCCGGCTGGAAAATACACGCCTGCGCCGCTGTGCCGAATACGCATGAAGTCCTTGCCCATGCGTGCGGCCCAAATATTCAAAAATATTCCGCGAGGGGCTTCCAGCGTGAGAAATGGCCAATCAACGTGCGGTACGCTACATACCAGCATATTCCAGAACGCCCACCATGATTGGCACGCCACTGGCCGAAAGGTTCGGGAACGGCTAGGACCTAGTAAATAAGTGAGAGTTGATCAGTTAAGGGACCTTCTGCCTTCCGCCGACGTAGAACAAAGTATTTGTTTTCAGAACCCGCCTCCCTTCTCCTCCATCATACCCGTCGGGATAGGACAGGTACATTCCTCGTTGCCCGTCCCATGAGTTCGATATTGCTGCCTAAAGTACGGCGCTGATTCATACCCGGACGCGGCTGACAAATCAGCCCACAACTCGGTTAGTCACGATCCGTCAGGACGTCGCAGGGGAGGGGTCTTGGTAGTTTGGTATTCGATCTTCGCCGGTGCAGAGTTGAGTCGAACTCGCTTGATCGGCTGCCACAGATTATCGCATACGGACAAGAACTACATGAGAGACTGCTGAGGTTATGTAGACAACAGCCATGTCAAGTCTTCAATCGGGACAGTAGCCGATGCGAGTCAGCACCAATGCCTTACCTAAGAACTGGATGGCCAGATAAGCAACCTGAGTGCGAACCTGGGTACCATTGCGGACAGACGCGTAGGAGATGCAGAAAGTCGACAGTGCACAAACGAAGTGTTTCTAGTTCACATCTATGGGAACAGTCGACTGTCTCTGAAAAGGGAACTTCATTAAATATCCGCCAGGGATGGGCAAAATTGTCTGCTTGATAGATGGGGTGGATTTAGGCTGTAGAAAAGGAATGGCACAGAAATGCTGGGAGAAACAGAATGCACCCCATGTGTGCGCATGAGGGAGCGAGAGAGAGAGAGCACAGCAGGAGCGCCAAAATTGACTATAATGGGAGAAAACTCGTAAAAGTGTAACAGACTGGTGTGTGTGTTATTCAAAAAAGAAGTTGATGTTTGGCCGACGGGAATGAGAGCTAGAGACAGTAGTGCCCCGGCTGCGTGTACATCAAAATTCGAAATGTGCGTATTTATGTATGCAAAGGCGGATGCTATCACACGCCAAGTGAAAACGGATGGGAGGACTTAGAACTCCTGCTTTAGGTATCGAGTGGGGTCAAAGAAATTTGTGACGACGATCCTACCGTTGAACTGACGTCCCGATAGGGCACTGCTTGCAGCCATTGCGTCCTTGATGGAGACGAACTCGACGAAAATGCATCCCACCCCCGGCACATTAACACCTGGCACTGGCCGAGGCATCTGCATGCTTTTGACTTTGCCGTGCCGTAGACATTCGGTTCGAACATCGTCGAAGACGTCAGTGTAGTCCTCTGGAGACTCGATGTCCGCGGGAGTGATCATGTTTGACAAACAGAGTACTTCAGTTGCGCCCGTTTGGTTCGTGCTAGTCTCTGCTCCCATGGGCGCATCCGTGCTCTGCTGTTCGTCCCTGACCATCGCCGGCGCCTCGGTAACCGATGGCGTGACGGTGGCTGCAGGGTCAGCCGGGGCGTCAACGGCTGGTGATTCTAACGTAGGCAACAACTTGGTGATGGAGGAAAGGGAAGAGGCGGCCAGAGCGTCGCCGAGACTGGGACAGGCGGTGGCCAGATAGTCCGCCCTAATGGCAAACAGTTTCCGGTCCTCGATTTCCAAATTGTGAAGCGCAGCGGCAACCATGTCGGCAGTTTTGCAGTCGAAGTACTCGAAGAAGCCGCAACCTTTGGAGACGCCCGTAGCTGGATCCTGCGGAAGCAAAGAGCAAATTAAAGGGAGCATTTAACTTTATGTTGTATATCACCCAAACAACTGAAGATAATTTAGTCTTTCCTACCTAAGACTATGGAGATTCGCAAAACTTACAAATGGGCGTTTGGCAGCCTACCGTCAGAACCCATCCAGTGTGTGATAAGGGAGTATGGTGCAGTAGTGAATTAGGCGGTTTGAAATCTAAGCCTGTTATACACCTGGGAAAAAGCAACTGAGATAAAGCACAATCCAGCGTGAAGACGGTAACGGACTGGCAACTTTTCTCTTTATTATTTCATAAACTCTTATATTAATGGACCCATACGCCGAACCAAGCGAGGTAGGCTAGTTGAGGTGTATTAGTGAGGAGAAAACGTTTAAGAGGCGGCTACTCAGAGAGGAACGTAGTTATTTGTCCAACTGTTGTCCCACTCCCGTTTTGCGGCGTCTACATGTTTGCCTATTCTACGCTGGTCTTCAGTACTATCAGGCTTACAATGACGGCAGGATTCAATACGCGCGCATTATGCGCGTCTGCCTATGATTGGCCTATCTGGAGAGTTTTTTTAAGACGGGAACGGGCATCGCAAAGAGCTCTGGCAGGCGCTCGGCGGGTTACGGTGGTCACAAGCGGGAGCCCATTGTGCGTGTGGTACGGGATGACGCGAGTTCTGATCCCCATCAGCTGTCACGCCCGTGTCCATCTCCAGGTCTCGTTGCTTAGTCTTGACACTAGACGAGAAGGTAGGTGTAAATGGATACTAGGCGGGCCCTTCTCTTCGCAAACAGCAGCAGCTGGGAACTTGACATCATTCTACAGGCCTTAATTCGTCACTATTTCGCCTGCCTATGCTAGTTCGCAGTGTTACGGATCTATGGAAGCAAATGAATTAAATAATTGCGGAGGGCAACGTTGCGGCTTTGACGAGGGCTTACGCAGTGCCTCGCCTGCTGAAGTCGTTTTTTCGACTACGATTAATTGAGTCGTGACTCCTTGTAGACTTCATGTAGTGGAGATCAAAGTACTTGGTCCGTTATGAAAAATATTACGGCCTTCATTGGCCAGGTCCAAACACTCAGCAAGAGAAAGGTGCATCATGAGCTTCGCCTTTTTTTGTTGACAGACATCCGTCAAAGGATCTCTACAAAGTAGAAAACCCACAAAATCGGAAGACTTGTCCCGACAGCGGCTCGAACGGTCCGCCACCCCCGTCACTTGTTAGATGACTTCACCGTCTGCGCAGGTGGGCCATATTCTACTGCGTCTGCATAACCCTCGATCTGATTTTTACTCGCAAAGCAGATGAATCTGAACACAGACAAGTAGGATAACTGTACGAAAACAACTAACATAAATGGGGACTCGTCACAATCTGGACGGTCAATTACAACCTGAATACAGACTAAGCAATACTGATAAACTCTCCCCTGACAAGTGGGATCTGACATTCCATGCAATAGGGCTAATACAGGCTTTCTAGTATTGTCTGATTAGTGTTCAGATGTGCTTACACACTGGCACATTCGCCGTAAACATCCATCGAGATTGTCGCTCTAGGGGTAGATGGTCCGTCTCGCGAGTCAATAAACGGATACAAAGATTATTTCTTCCAGAGAGCATTCGGCGCTCTAACATTGCAGTTGACAGAGCATTTAGTTGCGGCCTATGGGAAGTCAGCATCACACTTCGCTCAGAATAATGCCTTCGGATTTACTTTTCAAATTCGGATAGCTTACTTACAATCCGGAACCGTACCTTAACATAGCAAAATATCAGGCTTTATGTTGTCATCTGATGGACATCGTCAGTTTACTACGAATATTGTTCTCCGGTAAGCAAAAGTGAGAGGATGTCACACTCCTCATAGCTGGTTGTCGCATTTTTATCAGGATGAGATGAGGCACTGGAAACACTAACAATTATAAGGGACCGAAATGCGTTCAAGGCAATTCCTGTCAGCCCTGTGCTTTGTATGAGGTGCGCGAGAAGTCAAATGCTAGAGTTCAAGATGCCAATATCTAGTTTCCACTGTTCGATCAGATCTGAGGTCTGATTCTCTCGGATGAGGGTGGGCATAAATCTACTTGCCCTCAAGAGTGATTGAAGGATGTCGCGGTAGTGGGTCTGCGGCAGTACGCGAGCAGTCCTGCGTCAAGTCTGCGACCACCGTTTGGCGGTCACGAGCAAAGTACGCTCGCCAACTAGTTGTGTAAAACCTTCCGCGGGAATTCTCCTAACTCTTTTTAAATTTCTTGCCCAATGGTCTTCAGTTCGTCATAGCCATCAACTTCACCCTCTGTACGTCAAAACCACGGAAGTCTACGTTCCCCTGTGAGGTTGTGATTCAAGAAGTTCCCGGTATAGCAAAGGTCTAGCATGAGCATTCCTATTTCTGGCAAATTGTCAGGCATCTCAGCTGCACGAGGACCGGAGAACCTGTCCGAGGGGGTCGTTGGGTAGGTGCACTTAACGGGCGTTATGGTCGGGAAGACCAAGGGGACACACGCAGTCTGGCCACCTGGATCCATTGCAAAATACTACCGAATAGTCAATGGTCTTGTAGAAGTTTGCGTCATCTTGAACACAGTACGGTGTGGGGTTGATATGCCGACATGTTTGTCACATGCTACGAAACTTTTAAAATCAACGGCATCTTTCTTAATACTTAATTAGCAAGAAGAATGGCAACTGTCATGCACAGTCTGGTGAAAGGACTTTGGAGATGCCACTAGCGCATAGGAAGGAGAGTGAGACAGGAAATGAGATACCCCTCCTCGTGCCAATTCGAAAAATGTCTTCCTATGACAAATCTGGCATCTCCAAACTATCACGATGCGCTAGAAGTCGTAGCCTGGAAAGTTGCTAATTGATGGGATGACTCAGCTCTTCATCTAAAAAAGGGGGGGTTAGACTGTAAAGGCTTTTTCTTAGTGCAGCCTCTATAGTATCTCTCGCTCCTGTGCCCCGATGTGAAGATGGGAACCAAGTCGCGTGTGGCACGTCTCTATGGAATGTTTTGTATTCTCAACTAATGCACTCACGCCCATATCTGGTCGTATTGACCTTGTATTGTATGGCGGACATTGGAATAGTGGGCGAGGTGGCAAGACCAAAAGTCCCCATTGTGTTTACTTCGTGACGCGGTGATGGATCTCGTTGCTTGCGATGGTGGAACTATCGTGTTGCTGCCCCGCTCGGGTGCATAATGAAACGATATGACAAGTAGGACTACTCTGATGTAGTGGAGTCTTCAACCGCAGCTGAAGTTAGGCCTGTGATCGCTGTCTGATTTATAGCATTCATGGCACATGTCCTTAGTTCACATTTTCCCTACCCTCCCCCCTCCGGCCTCCTTTCTTCGGTTAAAGAGCCGAAGTACTGGCACTCTATGCAGACGGTAGAAAGTTTTCGACAGGAAATTGACAAGCGCCATATGATAACACTTCCACAAACACAGCGGTAGGGTATACTGCGTGGTATACTAGGAACAATGTGACTGGTGGACTTTGAGAGTAGCAGCCAACTTAAGCACACTTGGTTATTTTCTGTCTGTGTGTATGAACAGATATTACCTATCGGAACTGGACGGCGCGAAGTCATTGTAGAGAGGAGGATGGACAGCATTCAGTTGCAATTCTCACTGATAAGTGGTAGCATCAGTTCTGACCCTGCAGGAGTTTATATTTCACGGAAAAAAGCAGGCATGCTGTAAAAGCACGGGAGGGATATTTGCCGTCCTACGTAAAATATTACAACCTACGAGTCCTTTATTTACTGGCAGATTATGAAGTTGTGCAAGCACTACCGCAGCAGCTAGTGTCAAGTGCTTACCTTGACCATGCCGCAGGATTTCAGAACGCCAAAGGATGAAAGCATTGACTGAAGGCTGATCTCTGGCATCGTAGGCGGTAACCCACAGACAAACACACAATTTGAAGACAGAGAGGGCGCGAAGGCGAAACCAGTTCTCGATTCAAGAGTCACAGGCGGCGGCACGTAGTCGCGCGGACGACGGACACGCAAGGAACTGCCAAAGTAGGTAACACCGTCCAAATTCAAAGCGGCAGTGGCTTCTTCCACGGACCTCAGTTCGATGAAGGAAAAGTGCCTCTCGGAATTCACCTGGACAGCGATTACAGGATCACCGACTGCCTGACAAAGGCCGCGTGCGCGCATCTCCGTGTTAAAGAACAGCATCATGCCCTCAGAGGTCATACCCGGTGGGATGCTTCCAATGTACAGCCTACGAGCCTGTCTAGTGGCACTGAGAGGTATCAGTGGATTGACTGCGGGTGCAGGTTGAGGATTCAACAGACCGGGCATTTTCAAACCGATAAGTTCTCCCAACGACGATGGTGGCTGACCAGGCGAATTTAAAACGTTCATCAGAAGGGATAGTAGAGAACTGGCAAGGGGGTTAGATTGGACGAGTCGTGGAAGTGAGCCCAAAGTTTCAGACATAGGGACGTTGTTGGCGTTCGTAACGGTCGACGTTTTTGGTGAGACGGCTGAAGGCTTTGCCTCAGCGCTTGTGGCAGTGTCTTTATGAGTGGCTTCCATAGAGCTACTGGCGCGGTTGGACTCCGGTTGCTTTGGTGGTGGCGGCGGCGGCGGCGGCCTAGGCGTCGGGCTCCTTCCGCGACGAGATCGTGAGGAAGAGCTGCTGCTCCTGCTGGAACTTCGTGAAGGACTCGAATAGGATGAAGATCTGTCGCGCCTGCGGTGTTTGTGGCCTCTCCTTGTGCTGGACGACCTGCGTCGTGAGGATGATGACCGGGACCGATGAGAGCGTCGAGACCGCCGCCTTCTTGAGCGACTTCGGCGAGAATGTCGGCAATACGACGAGCGCCGCCGCTTGCGTTGCGCTTTAGAGCAGGTGTGGGGGCGTCTTTTAGACCGTTGGCGATTCTGACTGGAGTCTCGGTGACTGGAAATGCTCCCCGGCTTCTTGGGGACAGGGTCACTTTTGGTCTCGTGTTTGGGGCTATGCGTGACTTTGCGTGTAGTAGCCTCTGAACTATTTTCAGACCGCTGATTTTCTGAAGCTTTTTTGTGAGGAGAACATGTAGTTGACGAGACAGACGGCTCTTGCATCTTCTTTGGAATTTTGTGGCAGAAGCGAGCTCTATTACTAGAGCTCAGCTTAGTACGATCATATATGCCTGTAAACAAAAGTTTGATTGAATCAAAAAACGGTGAATGTTTCATTCCCAAGGCCAGGCGAATTGAAAGCTCCTAACCACAACCAATTAACGACTTTTTTCGGGACGTAATAAAGGGGGGGGGGGGTGTACCAAACTTACTCTCAGAGGATGCGAATCGCACCAAACTAAAATGGTGCCCAAAAGGTAATTAACGGAAGTTCGCAGTGTTTACATCCCTCAACACCAGGGTTGTTTTGCGCACAATCGAGAAATAACTTCAATTTCCTATGGGGTAGGGGCAAAAATTGGTGGAGTTGGGTATGTAGCCAGAATGGTCAACATCCAAACATCAGTAGTGAGAAGTTCTTTCAAATTTAATGTCAGTCAGCAGCAAACCTGAAATTTTGACTTCCTTATTTCAGGGCACTAAATGATCAATCAGACTACTTTTGATAGCCTAGAAGAAAACGATGTCATCACAGGCAATAGCCAAGGCTTCCTTGGCCAAAATAACGGCTTCCCGCCAACTAAAAGTTCAAGGTTTCGAGATTTCCATCTACCGTTGTGGACTTGGGACTTATCGCCGGGAATAAGGAATTACGTGGGCGGTTACACTTGAGAAGAAAGTGTACAGACGTCCGTCTTTAAGAAGCGACGGTCGGTACGGAAGGATCAAGATTTTTTAGCGATATTCAAATTCCACTCCCTCGAATGAATAGCAAAAGCGTCGCAACTCCGCGAGTCAAATGAACATGTGGAAACATCCCAAACATGACATGTTTGGGATAATTCGTGTGTCAGAAATAATCACAACATGTCGAGGTATGCCCAGTAAGCCAGCACTGAAGAAACGCGCCATGTGGATTCCGACTCCGCGGAGGGCACAAAAAAACTATTTGTCCTTGATCAAAGACACCCGGACGCCAAGATACATGTGAATGAACGCAAGTCTTTCGTAAACTTCGAAAGGTCTAATAAGTTAGATCGCCTGTTTCGGCTTTTGGTTTTCATTGACCCGGTTATTTAATACACAACGCAGGCATGTCTCTTGTAGTCGCAGCTGCCGAGACTGGTTGTAGAAAATAAAGTAATTGAGAAGCGAAACGATTAAGGAGGACGGAGCGATGGAAGAACACGCCAGCTTCGGATAAAATGCCGTTATCAAGTCTGTACAACGAAATATTTGTGATTATATTCGCGAGTGGGCATGTTGTGTGCCAGAAAGCTCATTCAAATCGTGAACTAATGGGCGAACCTTGTGTGTATCTCGCACTGAATGAGTTAAAGTGGGCCGGTATAAGGCTGGCAATCCACTTTCGTTAGGGCTACAACCCCAAGGAAATACTCAGTTACGTCGAGGTCAATGCATCCTTTTTACCTAGAGGCTTGATGTTACATTCGTCTAGCTTCTAGCGTTGATAACTAAACACTTTTTATTTCATTTGGTTAGTATGTGAATTCGCACACCCGCGCTCTGATAGCGGTCTGTAAATACATATACATATATGTACCTGCACAGTACAGGTTCTGTGCGGACAAGTACCTTTTTTAGGGAACAGACAAAGCTCATAGGAGCACGTAGACAGTCAAAAATAATACGAGGTGAAGTCCAGCCGGTGGGAAAAACAAGTATCAGTGTGTGACAAAACGCTAGAGCAAACAGCGCAGACCTTACTCGGATGAACAACCGAGAAATCGAAAATTGCTGCAAAAGATATGAGGTGAAATAAACAAACTTGCCAAAGTGCAAAGTTGTCCAGATTCACATAAGCCGTTGTGGACATGAAAGTTCTGATGAATATACAGTTGACGTCCAGTATTCGCATGGACTGAAAGTCACAGCTGCCCCTAAATAGGTTAAATCTAGGGATACTTGTGGTTCATGTGGAAACGCTCAAAACCGCCACTTTTAATGTTCAAACACCAAATATGCCTTAGACTATTATTCTTAGGCACTTTACTAATATTTCAAAGTCATCTTCCAACCCCATTCATAAAAATATATAGCAGAGGACTGCGAGGGAGCCAATCTGCAATTATTACTCCTATCAAGGCGAAAACAACTCAAATCTACCCATATTCAGAGACAGGAGAAGGGAGGGAGAGAGAGAAAGAGAGAAGGAGAGAAAGAGAGAGAGAGAGAGAGAGAGAGAGAGAGAGAGAGAGAGAGGGAAGGGGGAATTCGCTTGATTTTGAAATTATAAATCCAAAGTCTTCAGCAAAAATGAGCTCCATTCACCGTGGACAGAAAATAAGTTAATGAATTACTCAAGGGTCAGAATGTTTTGCATAAGGAGAAACGCCTATTTTGGGACAGGCTGAATCTTAGTTTGTGTATTCCTCTCTCTTCACATATAAAATGGCGCGCCAGGAATGGCAATAATAAGTGTTGATATGCCGGTGAACGACAAGAGATAAGTCGAAAGCCACGACGCATGGGAAGGGGAGACTTCGCAACGATTAGATTAAAATGCCGGCAACGGACAACGTCATCCGGAATTCGACCGGCAAATCGCTTGACCGTTTTGAAAGGTCGTTGTAGGATAATATTAACTAAAAAGAGATAATAAATGCCAGCTGCAGAAGATAGCATTCGGAGAACTCGTTTCAAAACTTTTAGATATTTTTTGAGCAATGCAGGAAAAATACCACGAGACCAAAAAAGAATAGGAGGAAGAATGCAGGCATATACAAATCGCCAAATTAATGGCAACGGTGTCTGGTAGGAACGTAAACGATGAATGTGCTATAGAAGTTTACGAACTTTAGTGGGAAGAGCGTTTTCGTCAATCTTCTATTCCAGGATCTGATGGTGTCCCAGTAAGTATTTTAAAAGCCGATGAAAATACGATTTTCCCATCCCTCTTATGCAATATTCTGAATCTTGTTCTTGAAAGTGAAACTTATCCTAACTTCTGGAAGGAATCACATATTTTGCCCATTTTTATGGACGGCAAATCCACGTCATTTGATGACTTTCGGCCAATAAACACCCTCCCCGCGTTTTCGAAGATCTTAGGGGCATTGATCAAAGATAAGATGGTGTGTCACTTAACAGAGAATAACCTACTGAGTGCGGCTCAGCATGAACTCCTCAAAGCTCGATCTTGTGAAACCTGTCAACACTCTTTCCTTGACTATGTTCTCCAATCTAGGGACAATGGTTTTGCACTTTACACAGTATATTTCGATTTCACTAAGGCGTTTGACCGTGTTGACTATGGTCTTCTTCTCTTGATTCTGTCCTCTTTCGGAATAGGTGGCAAAATTTAAATTTTATAACCTCTTACCTGGGCACTCGTACACAAGGAGTTAATATTTGCAGTACTATCTCCAACCCCACACGTGTGAGGAGTGGAGTCATTCAGGGTAGTGTGCTCGGCCCGCTTTTATTCTGCCTTTCCGTTAATGATGCACCCGATTTATTCCAAAATGGTAAGCCTTTCATGTATGCCGATGATCTTAAAGTTGCATATCGATATAAGCCGGCAGATCATGACATTGTACTTGAGCTCATAAAGAGCAATCTACAGGTCTGGAATAGGGTTCGTTTTTATTTAGCCTCATGCGTGATATTGAGCGGAAGAAAATAGAATCCGTTCAACACTTTTTTACGAAGAGAGTTTTAACTCCGGAACACCGACATTTGTCTTACCAAGAACCTTGCCGGCAAACGGGCCTTGATCCTTTATGGTTCTGTAGATTACAAAGGGACTATTTTTGCTATTTAAACTCTTATATAATCACACATTTAACCCACTCACCTCTTTAAGACATCATGTCCACCCACGACGTAACAGTCACTGTGAGGTCTTTTTATTTCTTCCTCTGGCACGTAATGTTAAATATCGTCGGTTCTTTTCTGTAAATGCAAATGCTATTTGGAATAAACTACCCATGAGTGTGAAAAATCTGCCAAATTATCCTTTATTTAAAAGAACTATTACTCGATTTTTGCATTCAGAAAAGCTCCCACGAATTTTGGGTGCTGAATCCACTGATCGACTCTACCGTAGCGATGGCGTTTGTGGTCTCTGAAAACTATGGCCTGTCTCACCATGGACAATTTCGTTGGCCAACAGCGACAGCTGTTCCTCAAAGCCTCTACTTCGACTATCCCCAACTTCATGAATCGAATTGACGTCCGATAATCTCCGATACCGTGCAACCCCCCCCCCCCACCCTTCTTGACGGTGAAATGTATGTCGCCAGCAATTTTTTTTCTCCTGAACCTTCCAAACCATAAAAACCACCATCAACTATATTTTTATTCCTTTACCTCGGGAGTTTTTTTTCACTGCTGGTCGGATTTGTGTTTAACGCTTCCCTTGACAATGCCTATAAACTGGTATTAAATAAAATTATCAAATTATCAAATATGGAGGGAAAATGAAAGATTTAATGAAAACGTAACGCCAAGGTACCTGAAAGAGGATACCTGGTTGGGAAGGAGGTCAAATGATTCAAAACAAGTATAGGGCCGCAGTTAGAAAATACAGTGAACTGATTTTTGGACGTTCATTAGGAGACCATTTTCCTGCGACCATACTGAGGCATGGTCAAGACAATCCTTCCAAGACTGGATATGTGTCTGATTTTTGGGAGGGTGGTTAACAACCAAATCGTCAGCATACTTAACCAGTAGACAGTCGTTTGGGGATCTTATATCATCGGTGTTGAGGAAGAAAAGGTGAGGAGATAGAATGGAAACTTGAAGAACTCCACAGATAGGTGTAGTTCATGCACAAAGGGCTGCAGTATTTATAGGATGCAGTCGCCAGGCTACCGTATACTTATGAATATTGACGACTCCCCCCCCCCCCCTTCATCAGGGACCGTTGCACTTGGTGTGCTGACAATTTTATGGCCGACACTCGCCTCGTTAATTTCTGCAATTTCACCACGTGCGTTGTATATTGGTGGGATAATTTCTCGACCATCTAACCCACCGACCCTGGCGTTCAAAAAGTTTTCACCTCTGCGCCCCCCTCGTGGCTAATTACTCCGCCTAGGCGAAGTCTCAGCATCAGGTATAGAAGGGGAAGGTCATTGCACTTGTTACTGGACAGGGAGCAGCTCGTGGCTCATGTGGTTGTTACCTCTTGCGAGAATTTCGGTCTCGTCGAACTTGGGTGTGTGGCAGGATCTCGCCGAATGAGACGCAGTTTGCGAGCTGGCGTCATTTCTCCGCACCGCTGCAGCGTGTTTGGCCATTCGCGTTCGCAGGTGTCTTCCGGTTTCTCCGATGTAGTTGTTTTGTCCGCAACTGCATCCTATAAATACTGCAGCCCCTTGTGCTTGAACCACAGGTATCTGCTTTTGCCTCTGATGGTACGTTCGATCAGGGATCCGAAACCTCAGGCTAATAAAACTCTTGTCCCAACGATCGTATCTCCTTCTTCAAGACTGCCCCCTGGGACTCGTCCCTTGGCTTCTATTGTTTCTCTACTGCCGCCGCAGACGCGGGTGGACAGGCACATTAGAGTAGGTGAATGTCGTTTGAAGTGAGATGGAAGTCATTGTCACTAAAAAAATTAAACTTTGTTTAAGGAGTCAAAATCAGCATTCACTTATACCAGTGTGCTACGATAGCCAGTGAGAGGCTTAAGATTCTTCCGACTTTCAGCAGAGGAAGGAGAAGAAGGAGGTAGGAAGAAGATCTGAGAAACTAACTAACAGACAGATCATTTAGTTTGAGAAGTTCTTTTTTATTAAGATGGTATCGTCCTTTAGGCTGTCACATAAGCTCGGCTCGTAGAAGGGTTCCTTCTTATGGTTTAAGGATGTAAGATAAGTAGAAGAATTTTTATCCATCCTTACCAAAGCAGTATCGAAAGGACAGCAAACATTAAAAATTTCATTTAAAAACGTATGGTTGCTATAACATGATTCAACATCGATTGTTTAAGGGAAGCGAAGATAATATCAGATATGCAAGTCTGAAGCAGGCGAATGATTTGTGCGACACGCACATCTTCTTTCATACAGTATTTAAACCTTGCTGTTCGCTTGTACCTTATACAATGTACGATAGTAGCACTGGTGGATCCGCAAGTACAGGCAGAGTTATCATGGAAATGTATTTAACCACGAGAAAAATGTAAATAACTGTGAGTACTATATATGTGCTTTGTGAGAAAATAAACGCGCAAATGGATGGATTTTAACCGTGTCCAATTTCTTTTTGCATTCGCAAGCGTCAGGATAACACGATACTTGTTCCAATAACTCGTATAGATTTGTCGGTGATTTTTTACTGGGTATTTTTATGGACACGGGAACCATGCCAAATACCTCATTGCTGTACAACAAGCTTTTGTGGTAAGAAGCGAGGTTGGCAAAACAGGCGGAATTGAAGTCACATGAAAGCGAAGTGGCCATCGTGCGCTAAAAAAGAACGGAATCAAATAAATGATAAAAGTCGTAAATGGCACACAGTTCAAAGTCAGCCGAGTCATCGAAGCATAAATACGTCCGATAACCATTACATTCCAAAATAATTCCCGACAACCAATAAATTTCCGAGGTTTTGTGACTGCATATAAAAAACCTGGCAAATAATCCATAAAAATCTATCTTGGAATTTTTAATAAGAAATAATCGGTAGATAGGCATATGTAAGTACTCAGTTTCGGACTAGTGTATTCGAAGCATGAATGAGGATACTTTATGGCTCCACATGATGAGAAAAAAACAAAATTTTTGTTTAAGACCGTTCGGGATCACAGCACAGCGAGTAAAAATAAATTTTTATATGAATTTTAGAACAGGTAGAAAGAACCAACAGCGTATTCAGTTCATGATTTCTTAACAAGTGGGTTGGTCA